GACACGAGCAGGGGGCAGACTCAAGACTAGACCTCGACGCTGCAGCAAACACCTGACCCGACGCAGCTACCTGACGAGACGCAGTAACTAGAGGAGACTCGGTAGTCAGTGTGTACAGGCTTGACCCCGGTTGACATGTAAACGTGGTCAAGTGTCGGCCCGTCCGAGCACACGTGCAGTGGGTCACCCGCTGACTCGCAGGAGTGAACTGGTCAACTCCCCCATCCTGCAGGTTAGCTCCACTCACCAAGTTCGTAGAGAACGAGGGGAGGTAAAGACCTGACAGGGAGCCGGATGGGGCCGCTAAACACGGTAGTACAGCGGAGAAGTGGGCAAGGATTGGACCCCCAGAGGGTCTGCCAGGGAGATCGCAGCCGGCCGACTGAGCTACATGAGGGTGGTGCGGTCTCGAAAGAAGGAGCGAGAAGCACCCGTGTCAAGGGTGAAGGTGTGCAAAGCCTTACCAGACGTGGTACCTGAGAGAGCAGACTCACCAGCACCTGGAGCAGCAGACTCACTAGTACCTGGAGCAGCGGACCTGCGAGCACCTAGAGCTGCAGCTGCAATGCCCGGGTCAGGCGGAACTCATAGGTAACAGTCACCCTCATCACTAGTAGTCACAACATAGATGGCAGCAAGAATAACATCATAGTCAAGATCAAAGATAGCTATACTCAACTTGAGCAAATCACCCCAGCGAGGGATCTCAGAGGCGTCAGGGAATTGGAGACGCCAGGCGTCAGTCTGGCGGCCAAAGCAGCGCTGGGTGGTGTGCGGCCCGCCGCACGGCTCCCCAGTGCGGTCACCAGTACGCAGGACGTAGGCATAGGGACCAGCACCCCCAGACGGCTGCTGGGGTGGCAGGGTCTCACGAGAGCGCTGCTGCTGCTGACGCTGGCCACCACCGAAGCCTCCCCGCGGCACAGAGCCACCCCGAATAGCGCCACCGCCATCGCCGCCTCCTCAACTCCCACCGCCACCGCCGCCGCCGCCTCTGCCGCCGCCACCAGAGCCCCCTTTCCCGCCACCACTCCCACCGCCACTCCCACCCCCTCCGCCCCCCCAACCGCCACCACCACCTCCCCCGCCCGCTCCCCCAGCGCCCTTGCCCCCAGTGCCCTTGCCGTAGCGGCGCCTCATGCTAGGGGCAGACGCAGCGCCGACTGACTCGGTGCCAACGAGGTCGACAGCAGCAGTAGAGGCAACAGAGGGCAAAAGGGGGACAGGGGAACACCCCTCAAAGAAAGGGGCACGAGGGTCATCACGAGAGGCTCCTACAGCGAGTATACTCTTCTCAACTGCAAGGAGGCGCTCCTCGAAGAGGTCAACGGTGAGTGTGGTGGGGCAAACAGAGAGGAAGTGGTCCCTGACCGAGCGGAGGGAGTCAGGGAGTCAGGTGACTAGGTAGTAGAGGGTGATGTACATGGGGGGAGGGGGGGGGTTCTTGGCGCAGAACTCAGCAGGAAGCGCAGCGTGGTAGCGGGTGTCACTAGTGCGAAGGTGCGTAATGAGGTCAGCGACTGTGGCAAAGGCGGCGAGGTCCGGGAACAGGTACGGCAGCATGAGGCGACTAAGGGCAGCAGTGGCAGGGGAGGAGTAGCGTGCAACTACAGCGTCGTACAAGGTCTTAGCAGTCTTGTACTGGCTAAAGTGCGCACGCTCAGTGGACGGCAGGTGACTACGCATAGCAAGACGGGTAGCAGCATCGCGTGTGGTCCATTGTGAGCGAACAGTATTGTTAGCATCGGCAGCAGGGGCAGTGGAGGCGCTAGACGTGAGATCGAATAGTGAGAGGTTGTGTTTGCTTTTCGGACTGCAGGAAATGCTGTAGATCATCTATCCAGACCTCAAAGTCTACCGCTCGACCCTCAGCATCAAAGGTAAGAACGTTGGGACTAGCCATGTCAGCAGTAGCAGCAGGCTAGCAGAAGAAGGGGCGCAGCTCAGCGGTGCGCTTACCAGGGGCGGGTTGGTAGAAGCTCGCAAGTGGTGGGGCAGGGCCGAGGTGCGCCGGCAGGATCGGGGCCGCGACAGGGCGGCAGAGGAGGGCTGCGACTCGGCTGCAGGGTAGGGCCGGGACGGCGGCTGCGGCTGCGAGGAACGGTGGCGGCCGCGACGAACGGCGGCGGCGGCTGTCACGACAGCAGCAGCGGAGGTTGTCTCAGCAGCAGCGGCGGCAGCTGACACGGCAGGAGCGGCGGCGGCTGTCATGGCAGCAACGGCGGCGGTTGTCACGGCAGTAGCAGCGGCGGCGAACGGCCGTGGCGGAAGCGGCAGTGGCAGCAGGCGCGACGGCAGCTGCTGCTGGGGCAACGACAACGGGGCGGCAGGGCCGCGAAGAGCTGCGGAGGGGCCGCGGAGGGGCCGCGAAGGGGCCGCAAAGGGCCGCAAAGGGCCGCGGAGAGGCCGCAAAGGGCCAAGAGGGGGGCCGCGAAGGGTCGCGACGAGGCTGCTGAGGGCCGTGAGGGGGCCGCGAAGGGCCGCGAAGGGGCCGCGAAGGGCCGTGAGGGGGCCGCGAAGGGCCGCGAAGGGGGGGGGGCGCGAAGGGCCTTAAGAGGGGCCGCGAGCGGTTGCTAAGGGGTCGTGACAGGGGCCGTGAAGGGACCGCGAAGGGGGCCACTAAGGAGGCCGCGAAGGGGCCATGAAGGGGCCGTTAAGGGGCAGGCCACTAAGGGGCCGCGAAATTTTAGGGCAGGACGCGAAGCGGGCTTCGGGCAGGCTAAAAAAATATTTCGAAGGTGGGCCCTTAGGAAGAAACGGTCCCACTAGGGAACACGCTCTATACCATGTGAAGAATGAGGAATGATTGAACTAGGAAAATGTTGGATACAAATATGAAACCCTAGAAACCAATACCCCTTAGTGACTACCCCACTAGAGCCTACAAAGACAAAGTCATATATATCTGACATGATGCGCCGCATACTGAACCGCGAATGGCCATAGAAAATGGGGAGCAGCCACATGGATCATGGACGTACGAGCGACATCTATGACCATGCCAATGTGGCGCTCAATAATCCCATTTGTGAAAGAACGAGGAATGAAATGACTAGGAAACAAGTAAGTGCAAGTAGGAAACCCTAGAAATGTTGTACACAAATGTATAAGCTATAATGTTCTTACACACCCCCATAGGCAAAGTGGGGGAGAAAAAGAGGTCACAAGACCAGTCAAGCAAAGCACAGCAAGCTCAGGGTGGATCACAACGTCACCACACATTCCGAGCACAAGTTCAAAGGCCACAAGGCCAGTTCACATGCAAGATTATATATAAAGGTAAACAAGCAAGTGCAGGTATAGACAGATCACAGAACAAGCAAGGTCAAGAAGTGAGCAAGTGAGGCCAAGTAGGCACAAGACCTAGCATCATACAAAAGCGCTGATGATCACAAGGCGGAAGTGCCTTGGTAAAGATATCAGCAGTGTTGGCCTGAGAGGCCACGTAAGCAAGGCGCAGCTGACCATGCTGCTGCAGCTCACGAGCAAGGAAGTAGCGAAGAGCAATGTGCTTCGTTCTGTGCTCCAGTCTGTGCTCCCGACACAAGGCCAGCATGGCCTTGTTGTCTACGTACAAAACTAGAGCAGAACGAGGCGGCTCTCCCAGGTCAGTCAGCAGGTAGATGAGCCAGCGTAGCTCCTGTGCAACCATGGCCCCCGCGTAGATCTCAGCCTCACAGCTGAAGCTCAGAACAGAAGACGAGCGCGTAGACCGCCACGAAACAGAGCCGGAACCAAGGCTGAAGGCGTAACCCTGTGACGATCGTTGCGTCGCCTGGTTGTCAACCCAAGAAGCGTCTGCGTGACCGGTGAGGACCACTGAATGCCGCCCTCGAAGCACTAGCCCCATGCCCGACGTACTGCACAAGAAGCGCAACACCCTCTTCGCTGCAACCATGTGCTCTAGTCGGTGTCGCCCAGGAGCAACATAGCGTGCCAAGATGCTAAGAGGGTATGTGAGGTCAGGTCGAGTGCAGGTCATCAGGTAGATGAGGCAGCCAACAAGCTCTGGGTACGGGCCACTCGGCTCTACGGACTCATCTGAAGGCAGAGCTGAGAGCGAGTGGCGAGTAGACAGAGGAGTGGCCTGAGGCGAGGAGTACGTGAAGTCGAAGCGCTGAAGGACCTGCTGCACCATGTGTGAGTGTCACAGGGTAATGGTGCGCTGTGCTCTGTCCCGGGTGATCTGCAAGCCAAGGTAGCTGCGCAGTTCACCCAGGTCTGTGCACGTGTGTCTCTTCTGCAGCTCGGACTTCACGTAGGCGAGTCCAGCAGTGTCAGCACTGGCAAAGACCAAGTCGTCAACGTACACGAGGATTTAGAACGGCGGCAAAGAGGTGTCGGTGCGCAGAAACAGCGACGGGTCGGTAGTACAAGGAGCAAACCCAAGATCCGCAAGTGTAGGCCTTAGTGTGTCGTGCCACTCACGGGGCGCCTGGTGGAGACCGTAGACTGGCCGCTGGAGGCTCCACTGGGTACCAGGAGGAAACGACCTAGTGAAGCCAAGTGGGCGGCGCACCCAGATCTCCTCGTGCAGGCTGCCCTGCAAGAAAGTTGTGCTGAAGTCAAGAGAGTGAAGCTCGTAGTCGCGCTGAGCGGCTATGTGCAGCAGCACCCGAAGATTGGTCATCTTCGGGGTGGGAGAGAAGGTCTGAAAGTAGTCAACTCCCTGCCGCTGACTGAAGCCTCAAGCCACGTAACGCGCCTTGAAGACAGGCGGAGAGCCCGGCGGCCACTTCACCCTGAAAATCCACATGCCACTGACAATGTTCGCCCCAGGTGGGGGAACCTCGTCGACGTAGGTGCCTGTGGACTTCCAGGAAGCCATCTCTCCGTCCATGGCTGACTTCCACTGTGAGGAGTAGGGACCCTCGATCGCCTCAGCGTACGATCGAGGAGTCGGGATGTCTGGTGCATCCGGGTCTCCCTCAGGGGCAATCAGCATGTACACGAGATGAGGCAAAGCAGCAGCAAAACACTGTAAATCCTCCTGCCTGTCCTCAAGGATGTCCGTGAGGGGCGGCGCGCTGCTGTCCCTCGACGTAGGGAACGCAGGTAGGGGCAGGCCCCGGAGGGAGGGGAGGGAGGGACCGGGGTAGACCAGAGACAAGGTAACGGGAAGCCATGCCTCGGAGAAGAGGCAGGGAGGGGTGACCAAGGCGGTGGTGCCAGAGGAGAGTCCGGTGGGACAGGAGACGACACGAGCAGGGAGCAGACTCAGGACCAGACCTGGATGCTGCAGCAAACACCTGATCCGACGCAGCTACCTGACCAGACTCAGCAACCGGAGGAGACTCAGTAGTCAGTGTGTACAGGCTCGACCCCGGCTCGCGGGTAAACGTGGCCAAGTGTTGGCCCGTCCGAGCACACGTACAGTGGGTCACCCGCTGACTCGCAGGAGTGAACTGGTCAACCCCCCCATCCTGTGGATCAGCACCACTCACCAAGTTCGTAGAGAACGAGGGGAGGTAGAGACCTGATAGGGCGCCAGAGGGGGCCCCCGGACACGGTAAGACAGTGGAGAAGTGGGCAAGGACAGGACCCCCAGAGGCGTCCGCCAGGGAGACCGCGACTGACCGACTAAGTGGCATAAGCGTGGTGCGGTCTTGAAAGAAGGAGCGGGAAGCACTCGAGTCAAGGGTGAAGGTGTGTAAGGCCTGAGCCGACGGGGCACCTAAGAGAGCAGACGCACCAGTACTTGGGGCAGCAGACGCACTAGCACCTAGAGCAGCAGCCTCACCAGCACCTAGAGCAGCAGCCTCAATGCCTGGGTTAGGCGGAACACACAGGTCTCATCACTAGTAGACACAACATACATGGCAGCAAGAATAGCATCATAATCCAGATCAAAGATAGCAACCCCCGACTTAAGCAGCTCGCTGTAATGGGGGGTCTCAGAGGCGTCAGGGACTTGGAGACGCCAAGCGTCAGTCATGCGGCCGAAGCAGCGCTGGGTGGTGTGCGGGCCACCGCACGGCTCACGAGTGCGGTCGCCGGTATGCAGGACGTGGGCACAAGGACCAGCACCCCCACCTCGCTGACGCGCAGCGTACCACTCACGAAGCTGCTCGGGGGGCGGGGTCTCACGAGTGCGCTGCTGCTGCTAGCGCTGACCACCACCGAAGCCGCTCCGCTGCGCAGGGCCACCTCGACCAGCTCCACCTTCGCCGCCGCCACCTCAGCCACCGCCGCCACCGCCTCCTCCTCCGCTCCCACCGCCACCGCCGCCGCCGCCTCCGCCTCCACCGCCGCCACCGAAGCCCCCAACCCCGCCACCACTCCCACTGCCACCCCCACTCCCTCCGCCGCCTCCACCGGCACCTCCATTGCCCCCGCCAGCCCCTCCAGCGCCCTTGCCCCCCTTGCCCTAGCCAGTGCGGTGTCTCACGCTAGGGGCTTACGCAGCTCCAAAGAAGTCGACGGCAGCAGCAGAGGAAACAGAGGGCAAATTGGGGGAGGGGGAGCACCCCTTAAAGACAGGGGCACGCGGGTCACCTCTAGAGGCTCCTACAGCGACTATACTCTTCTCAACTGCCAAGAGGCGCTCCTGGAGGAGGTCAACGGTGAGTGTGGTGGGCAAACAGAGAGGAAGTGGTCCCTGACCGAGCGGAGGGAGTCAGGGAGCCGGGTGACTATGTAGTAGAGGGTGATGTACATGGGAGGGGGGTTCTTGGCGCAGAACTCAGCAGGAAGTGCAGCGCGGTAGCGGGTGTCACTAGTGTGGAGGTGCGTAATGAGGTCAGCGACTGTGGGAAAGGCGGCGAGGTCAGGGAACAGGTACGGCAGCATGAGGCGGCTAAGAGCAGCAGTGGCAAGGGAAGAGTAGCGTGCAACTACAGCGTCGTACAAGGTCTTAGCACTCTTGTACTGACTAAAGTGCGCGCGCTCAGTGGACGGAAAGGTACTACGCACAGCAAGACGGGCAGCAGCATCACGTGTGGCCCACTGTGAGCGAACAGTGCTGTCAGCATCGGCAGCAGGGGCAGCAGAGGCGCCAGACGTGAGATCGAACAGTGAGAGACCGTCTTTTCTATCGCACCGTAGGAAAAGCTGTAGATCATCGACCCAGACCTCAAAGTCAACAGCCCTACCCTCAGCATCAAAGACGAGAACGCTAGGGGTAGCCATGACAGCAGTGGCAGCAGGCTAGGGGGAGCAGCAGCAGTAGCAACAGTAGGGGCGCGGCTTGGCGGTGCTCTTACCAGGGCAGGTGGGGCCGTGAATGGCGGCGACAGGGCCGCGAAGGGCCGCGACGGGGCCGTAAAAGGGCCGCGAGGGGCCGCGAAGGGGCCGTGAGGGGTGGTAAGGGGCCGCGAAGGGCCGTGAGAGGTTGGAGTCGTATGCCTCCTGCGTCAGCAACTCCCGTAGGGGTTGGTAGGAAGGTACCCAAACTCGGTTAGTACCGATTTTTAGGTAATAACTCCCATGTGCCGTGGTCACCCGTTGGTGTTGATTTGCCCTGAAAAAACGGTCAAACCTGTAGCCGTGCTGGAAGAATCCTGCCAATAAAGGGTTAGAGTGGGCGATTAGTACTGCTGCGGTCTGCATGGAAGGGCGGGTCAGGGCGTCGGCGATGTTGTTGGTGCCCTTTTTGTACGTGATGGTGTAGGTGAAGTTCGACTCGAGGTAATCGAGCCACCTGATTTGTCACGGGTTGAGCTGTGGTTGGCTGCGCATGTACTGCAGAGAATTGTGGTCTGTCCTGATCGTGATGTCGGCTCCCGTGAGGTAACAACGCCAGGTACGAAATGCATGCACGATGGCGAGAATTTTCTTTGTCGTGTACATGGTAGTTGTGCTCGAGCGGCTGCATTTTCCATGACTCGTACGCGATGGGTTGCAGCCCGTTGCCGGAATCGTGTAGGAGGACGGTGCCGACGGCGAAATCGCTGGCGTACGTCACAACTTCGAACGGTTGAGATGGGTCTGCCAGCCGAAGTACCGGGGGTGAACTCAAAATTTTCTTCAGCTCGTCAAAGGCCAGCTGTTCTCTCTCCCTCCAACAAAATTGCATGCCCTTATATAGAAGATTGGTTAACGACCTAGTTACCCCCACCATATTTGGTACAAAACGGTGGACGTAGTTAACGAAGCCAAGGAAACTCTGCAACTCCGTGATGTTTGTGGGCGGCTTCCACTCCGAAATTGCCGTCACTTTGCGAGGGTCAATTTTAATGCCCTCCCCTGGAACCACGTGCCCCAGGAAATCCAGCTTCGGCTGTAAGAACTCACACTTAGAGCCCTTCGTAATCAGTCGGTTCTGCTGCTAGCGCCGGAAAACCTCCCCTAAATCCTGCAAATGCTGCTCCCGAGTCTTGCTGTTCACCAGGATGTCGTCCAGGTAAACGATGACTTTCTTGTCCAGCATGTCACGAAACACCCTATTCATGGTGAGCTGGAAGGTCGAGGGCGCGTTCGTCAACCCAAACGGCATCACTGTGTATTGGTAGCTGCTGTAGCGGGTGCGGAACGCCGTCTTCGGGCAGTCGTCGGCGAACGCGCTAATCTGATGGTAGCCACCTCGCAAGTCGATTTTCGAGAAGAAGCGGCCCCCACAAAGCTGATCCAGCAGGTCGTCCGTTCGCGGAATCGGGTAACGTGACTTGATGGTGATCCGATTAAGCGCTCGATAGTCAATGCACATGCGCAGACCTCCGTCCTTCTTTGGCGTGAATAGTATCGGGGCGGCGTATGGGGACGTGCTCGGCTGGATAAAACCCTTCGAGAGCAGATAATCCAGCTGTTTCCGCAACTCGTCAAGCTCTGGTTGGCTGAGCCGCCACTGTGACCGAACAGTTGGTTTTGTGCCCTGCTCCAACTCGATCCTGTAGTCTTCTGGTTGCTGGGGTGGCAGCCCGTCAGGCAGGTCATCCGCGAAAATTTCGGGATACCTCCGAATTATGCTCGTCGCGTCCTCTGGTACATCAGCGCAGAGCGTGTCAATGTTGCGATTTTCTCGGATGCAACCACCTCGTATAGCTGTACGGCGTAGCCTTGCGCTCTCCATTTGATCGCCCTCGTTAGTGTGATCGCGTTGACACGTGTTGTCATCGCCTCCGGCTCCATCCATTTTGGAAGTTTCATGCACCCCTTGTTGCACAGCACCGTGATTGCTCCCGTCGTTCAGACGATCGTCGGATTAAATCTCTGTAACCAATCTCGTCCCAGCAGCACATCGCAACCGTCCTGTGTCGTCGCCAGCATCTTCATTGAAAACTCGAAATCGTTGCCGCACTTCATCCGATTTTTTCGCACCTCGTCCTTGATCGCCAGCGGTGTCCCGTCCATCAGTCGCGCGTCAATTTTGGGCAGACACCTCTCCAGCTTGACTCCGATTTTTTGGGCCGTTGCTAGGTTGACGAGACTGTGGCTCGCCCACCGTCAATGAAAAGTTTTATTGTATATCGGTTAACCCTCCCCACGACTAGCACAGGGTGATCCACGTGTTCATCCACTATATTCGTCCGGTTGCTGTTGATAGCCCGTATAGGTACCACTACTCGGTGTGGATGGTGATTGCCGGGCGACGGGGTCTCGTCAGTAGGTGGCCCAACTACTGACTCGTCTCTTTCTCGACCCCTCTCCGTCATTCCTGTTTCCCTGTTTCAGCTTCGGGCAGTCCTTCTTCCAGTGGCCCGGTTGGTTGCAGTTGAAGCACGTGTTAGGTCCACGTCTTGGCGCATCTACACCGTTGATTGTAGGCTGGCGTGGCAGTCCACGAAATTGAGTGCCCTCCCGAGAACTCATCCTCGACCACTGCATCAGCGCGTCCGTTGATTTGGCCATCCGGACGGTGTCAAGGAAGTTGTATGGCCTCGTCCGTTGCACCTCGTACTGTACTACGTATTTGAGGCCTGCCACATATCGGTCGAGTCGCCTCGCGTCACTCATATCGTCCACCTGGTCGGCCAAATTGCAGAACGTCGCTGTGTAGTCTTGGACCGACGCCACCTGCTTCCAGGTACGAGGCTTCATGCGAGCAGAATCCGAGGTGGATACATGCTCGAATCTGGCTCGCAACGCGGCGGCCCACTCCGTCCATGTGCAAATCGTAGCCACTCCGAAGATTGTAGTTGCTCGTTGCATGACAAGTGTCCAGGTCCCGTCGTTGGCACGTGACAGTCATGTCGAAGTCCCCTCTATTTGAAGAGTCCGCTTCCACCACTCCAACGCAGGACCGCGTAACAGTGACACAGCAAAACTAATGCGAGTGATATCGTCAGCAATTTGCGCAGCATTGAAGAAAACCTCCATGCCGAACAACCACACGGACATAGTGATGGTTTTGTCGCTGGGGTTGAACGGGGGCGAGTTTGTCGGTTTTATTTTAACAGTTGTCGAGAGTGTTGCTGCTGCATGCATTGGGGGCGCCACTGAAGCCATCGCCGGGGTTGTCGCTGGTGCTTGTCGTGGCAGTGTTTGCGACTGTTGCCTTGGCGTTGCTTGCTACTGTGGTTGCTGTCCTGGCGCTTCCCATGTTTCTTGCTGCCGTGCCGCCCACTCCTCTTCAGCGTCCTGTGAAGCATCCAGCTCGTTAAACACGTTCTCGTTGAGTGAGGAGCTGCTACTCGCTTCATCCACGACGAGCGACTCCTAACGCGCTTCACCTCGTGCCTGGCGTAGTTCAGCGTTTTCCACCCTCAGGCGCTCCTGTCAGAAAGAAGAAGTGATCAACTAGAAACATTTGGGAGGACAAGTATGAAACCCTAGAGAAATGTACACCCTAAAGGCTAACCCACTATAGCCTACAAAACAGAAACATATACAATGTTTGACACACCCCCATAGGCTAAGTGGGGGAGAAAAAGAGGTCACAAGACAAGTCAAGAAAGACAAAGCAAGCTCAGGGTGGATCACAACGACACCACACACTCTGAGCATCAAACTGATCTATACCTAGCAAAGCAAACATGCAGGTATAAGTATATAGATCACAGTACAAGCAGAGTCTACAACAAGTGAGGAAAAGTGGGCACAAGCCCTAGCAAAGTGCAGGAACGCTGATGAACACCAGACTGAAGTGCCTTGGTGAATATATCAGCAGTGTTGGCCTGAGTGGCCACGTAACGCAGACAAAGCTGACCACGCTGCTACAACTCTCGAGCTAGAAATTAACGTAGAGCGATGTGCTTCGTTCTGTGCTCCAGTCTGTGCTCCTCACACAAGGCAATGGCAGCCTTGTTGTCGGCATACAGAACAAGAGGAGAACGAGGCCGCTCTACCAGGTCGGTCAGCAGGTAGGTGAGCCAGCGTAACTCCTGTGCAGCCATGGCTGTGGCGTAGATTTCAGCCTCACAACTAGAGCTGAGAACTGAAGACGAACGCGTAGAACTCCACGAAACTGAGCCAGAGCCAAGGCTGAAGGTGTAACCCTATGACGACCGCTGAGTAGCCTGGTCATCAACCCAAGAAGCGTCTGAGTGCCCAGTGAGAACAACTGAGCTCCCCCCTCCAAGCACGAGCCCCATGCCCGATGTACTGCACAAATAGCGCAATACCCTCTTTGCAGCATCCCAGCGCACCTTTCGGTGCCTACCAGGAGCCACGTAGCAGGCCAGAAGGCCAAGAGGGTACGCTAGGTCAGGACGAGTGCAAGTCATCAGATACATGAGGCAACCAACTAGCTCTGGGTAAGGACCACTAGGCTCTAAGGACTGATCCGAAGGCAAAGCTGAGAGCGAGTGACCTCTAGCCAGAGGAGTGGCTTGTGCCAAGGACGAGGTGAAGCCGAAGCGCTGAAGGACCTGCTGCACCATGTGTGACTGAGTCAGTGTGATGGTGCGGCGTGCTCTGTCCCGGGTGATCTGCAAACCAAGGTAGCTGCGCAGTTCACCCAGGTCTATGCACGTGTGTCTCTTTTGCAGCTCCGACTTCACGTGGGCGAGAGCTTCAATGTCAGCAGTGGTAAAGACCAAGTCGTTGACGTACACGAAGATGTAGAACGGCGGTAGCGAAGTGTCGGTGCGCAGAAACAACGACGGGTCAGCAGTAGAAGGCGCGAGCCGAAGTGCCGCAAGAGTAGTCCTCAGTGTGTCGTGCCACTCACGTGGCGCCTGGCGGAGACCGTAGACCGACGGCCGGAGGCTCCACTGGGTACCAGGAGGAAACGACCCAGTGAAGCCAGGAGG